TTAGTCACAATGGAGGACCCACAAATGGTGCCCTCTCCCATTAGCTGGTGCGTTTAACCCGAGCAAGAAAGAATTTAAAAAGTGCAAAAATAAAATCAGTTTGTAATTTGTATGTTGTTTTTTGTTTGTGTTTTTCGTTTATTTATTTTTCTTTTAAAAATTTAGTCGCGGGTCTGTGACAGTTAACACTCCTTGACTTGGTTATTATGCATGCAGGTGTAGGCTACCTTCGTGCTTGTGTGTGTGTATGTCTGTTTCTCTACGTGTGTGTGTGTGTGTGTGTGTGTGTGTGTGTGTGTGTGTGTGTGTGTGTGTTGTGCGTGTGTGTACCTCAAGAAAGGTTCGAATTGTCGGCAAACTATTTTTGAACAACGGGATGAAAGTGTCAAAATTTTAGTTCCATCAGAAAACCATTTCTTACTACTATATTGAAAGAATTGTGTAATATTTTAGGTCTGAATATTTTTAGAACTTATTTTTGCAACATGTTGTACTTCACCAAAGTTTAAAAGTGGTAGAAATATGGTCACCATACTAAAGTTGAAACCGTTTTCCTCCAAACTTTGTTTATACACAATGTGTTACGAAATGTGGTAATATCGTAAAAAACTACTCGATATATAAAAAAAAAATTAAGATCCGCATATTCGGCATCACATTTGCTTAAAGAAAAGCCATTATTTCAATATCCAAAATTTCCAACACATGGTACCTTTCCCCAGGCCCACAAACATATCGCTACCTTAGAATTACAGAGTTCTATTTGACATTTTTGACCGTTTTGAGTTACTAGGATCATGAGGTCAGAAACGTTCTGTCTGCTCTATCAAAACTGTGCGATTATTCGGAGTCGTCGTCAAAATGTTCAAATAACTGCATTCTCAAAAGCTTGAAATGTGTGAAACTCAGAATTTCTTAGGTCAAATTTCTCAAATTGAGTGGTTAGGCTACCCGACTCGTAGTCGTGAGGTTGCAGGGTCGAGGGTTCGAGCCGCGGGCCTGACGTTGTGTTCTTGGGAAAGGCACTTTACACGAATTTTCCTCACTTCACCCAGATGGAAATGGGTACCCAGCCATACGCAGCGAAAGATCTTGCCAGTATGTTGGTGTTTTATCCCCTATAAATGGCTGCTTGAATTGTATGCTTCTCAGGAAGTTGAGTTTGTTTCAGAATGCTCTCAGGTCTGCTTGGGTAACAGTGTAGATTGTGAAGTGCATAGAGCTTGCTGTTGAGCGGGGATTTGCGCTATACAAATGTGTCACGACATGGTGGAATCAGGCGCTTGTCAATTTTTGGGCATGTGGAGTTATTGGTATCATCTTGAAGCTTGTTCATTTGTCTTGCTTTGGATGAAAACAATATCCATTCATCTTGAATACAAGTCAAGATATTTGCGAATGAAGGA